CCCCCCCCGGAGGGTTCTCACAGTTTCCTGTTCTTCACTTATGAGAGCATTTTCCACACTGTATTGCAACTGTTAACTTAATTATCTGAGTTTTCCTTCATCCCCCTCTGTGGGGGAAGGAACTTGTCACACTGTCTGCACATAATAGGATTTCAACAAATATGTATTAAATTAAAACATTCAGAAGCTACTCCAACAGGAAGAGAGACTAAACACTGTGAGACCCAACAGGAAGCCGCTGTCAGAGAACCAGTGAGAAGTAGGAAGGCTCTAGACTGGGGGTATGGTGGGAATGAAACGGAGCACGGGACATGATGCCCCATATTTGTCAATGACTCATAATCTTCCTCCCAAGAATTCTCCTCCTCCCCTCTGTTCTCCATCTCATCAGCTGCCACCAGCACCCATCCCAGCTACTGAAGCCAGAAACCTAGGGAACCTCTACACTCACTCCACTCCATCTAATCAGAGACCAAAACCTCATGTCCAGCCCCTCCTCTCTGTCCCCCTGCTACCATCTTAGTTCAGACCACCATCATCTCTCATTCTACCTGCTTCAAGCAACTCTTAACTGGCCATCAGCCTTCAGGTTGGCCCTTCCTACATCCCTACTCTATCCATCCTGTCCATAGCTAGAAGAGCAAGTTTCTTAAGAGTGCAAACCCGATTGTGTTATTCTTATGGTTAAACCCTTATGATGGTCCCTCATTTGCTTCATGGTTCTAGTCCAGGCTCCTCAGCATGGCAGCCAAGGACAGCCCCCCATGATCCACTAACTCCCCATGTCTTTTCTCCTGCTCCCTCCCTAGCACCCTGTGTCATGCTCACCCTGGTTACCCAGCCTGGCAATGTACACTGAAAAAACACACACAAAGAAACTATCATTTTTCAAGACCCAGTTTAAGTATCTCCTCCTATAAGTCTTTTTGGATGTCACTCTTCCCACCACTCCTCGCAGTCCCCTGAAGAGCCTACTATTTGGCTCTTTGTGTGTCCATGGCTATCTCACTCTTATACACCATGGGAAGACTCATATCTCAGTCAGCATTGCATTCCCCAGTGCCCAATACAAAGCCTGACACATAGTGGGCCCTCAGTGGGCCCAATGAAAAAACCTACAGGAATTCTAGAAGCACTGAGGTTACCCTTGTGTGGCAGAGGAAATTATGTGCTGCTCTCTTCTGGCAACATGAGGCATTGTCCTAACCACAGACACCTCTCTTCCTTGCCCTTTGCCCCACCAAAAAAAGTGGTGGAAGGGAAAGCAGTAAAAGGAGTTGATGGAGAATAAGGGAACTGATGAGCTGTCTAGAGACAAATTGGATCAAGGTGATGGTGGGACACCTTTGTCAGCTCCCATATGTGTCCATGCAAAGTAGGGTGCACAAGCCAGGCAGTGCTTCAAAAGGAGGGGCACATCCTTAGAGTGAGTCTGTTCTCCGCCACTGAACTGTAAACTCTTTGGATTATATCTTAATTGTTTCTCATTCTATGCTGTTGTAATTGCCTTGTTACTATTACTGATGCTTTCATTTATTTTAGTAGGTGATTGCTAATTTTTTCCTTCATTGTTGTAAAACATTTGTGTTCTTGTACAGGGCAAGGCAAAAAAGTAGGTTTACAGTTATTCGTATGGAAAATAATACAGTAATTAATAATAATACAAGAATAAACTCTGTTTTGCATACTCACAACTATAAACCTACTTTTGCCCCACACTGTATATTCAGACTCTGAATTGACCACTAACTTGTGATTTTAATTCAACTTTGTACTGGTAGGAGGTTGTCTCTGATGTTCAGTGTTCCTTAACTTTCTGCCAAAGTCCAAATACCAATTAAGATTCCCCTATTCCCACTCCTTCCCCTCACTTCAGCAAATCATGTGACATAATGCGCCACCTCCTGGTGAAGAGAAGCATTATCTCAGCTCCTACGGGGGGCTGCAGGTCTAATTGTATTTTGACATGTGGAAAATTGTCTAATTCCTAACATGGGAAATGGATTTAGGGAAGGAGTTTGAGAGTGGAGACAGAGGTTTATGAGTGACGTGGTGAGTTAAAAACTCAGAGCAGCTAAGAGAGCCATTTGCAAAGATCACCTATTATTCATTTTTGAGTCCTTAGTGTTTACCACACATGGTACTTGATAAACATCTGATGTCTTCAAAAACAGAGGGGAGCACATGAAAAAAGCAAAAGGGACTAGGGTCCAGAGGCTCATCTTTTTATAGTGTAGAAAATTAGAGCTGTCTGATAACATCTGCCCTAAATTTAAGAATCCATCCCACCAGGAAGGAAATGCCTTTTTCAATTAACAAATCATCTTTCCTGGGCTCCAAAGAAGTCCTCCTTTTTTTCATATTTAGTTCCTGTCCACTTAGCCTTTCCCTGAAGGGTTAACTGAACACTATTGGAAGGGCACCATAAACATTGTCTTCATGTAAAACAGGGGTGGGGGACCTTTTTTCTGCCATACAAACTTAAAAATTAGCTATGAAAAAAGCTCCTAGATTTATTGAATTTCTAATCCCACCTGCAGTTGCCCTGGCAGGGCCAGACCAGATGATCTCTTGGGCCAGACATTCCCCATCCAATTGTGAAACAATACCAGCCCTCCAGTGGTTGACAATGTTTGGTGAGACATGGTACAGATGAAGAAAGATTGCTCCCATCCTTGAGAAGTTTGTAATCTCATTCAAGACAAGGTATCCATATGCACTGGCTTCTCCAGAATGATTAGAGGACCATGTGATGTATAATAAAATAATCGCTGGGCACTGAAAATGTGTGGCATAGAAAAGAAGTGTTTTCATTTAGGTGGAACTGTCAGGGAGGAGGCTGGGTCTGAACTGTCCTAAGCTAAGTAGAAGTAGGAGAGAGGATGGAAAATTCATTGTATGAAGGTCTGGTGGCATCCTGAGTCTCGGGGACAGGGTTGTCATCAGAGCTCCAGAGGTGGGGAGACACAGTGTGAAGCAGGTAGTCAGCCAGCCTGCCCACATTCTCCCTGTTGAGACCTGTGCCACCAGGGCAGGGACAGGAAAGCAGACAACAGCTCCCAGCTCACAGTATACTTTGGCCTCCTGTGCAAGAGTCTCCCCCTCCCTCTGGCAACAAACCCCATGCCCATGCAGAGTGAGAGAGTGAAAGGCTGGTAGGCTAAAGTGCTGACCAGGCCGACGGTGCCATCTCAGTACCATTAGTGAGACCAGTTCCAGTTTGGAGGTGAGGAGTGGGGCATGTTGGGCAGTCCAGTGAACCAGAAGGTCCCAAAGGAATGAGGTGGCCTTGACCTCCCAGACTCCCCACCCCTCATTAACAGAATCAGCTCAGTCTGAACTGCAACACTGTTCTAAAATAATAACAGACGGCATGCCAGGTTTGCCTTCCTGTCAGAACTGAGTGAAAGGGGCTGGAGAGTCTCTTTCCCCAATGCTTGTTTCATCCCAGTCCGGCCACCCCCACCCCCACCCCCATACTTCTGATGAACAGCCCAAACACGCCATCATCTAAGTGGTTTCTTACCAGCTCAAGCCCAAATTTCTCTGCTTCCAAAATCTAGTACTCTCCACCTGATAATCTCATGTCCCACCCCTCCAACAAACTCTACGCCATCTAAGACTCCTCTACTTTCTGTGCCATGGATGCTCATGTCCACCTTGGGGTGGCTTTCTTGTACTGTTGCCACCATCTGAAAGACCCTGCTCCCTCCACTCAGAACAAGAGGGGAGAAACAAAACAACACAGGACTCAGGAGCAAAGAAGCTAGCTTCATATCATTCCATAAACACGAGTGTCCGTACACTGCTAACACATTACTACGAACTTGGCTTAAATAAAATTAGTTTCTTATTTTACAGTAACTGAGGTTGGAAGTCCAAAATCAATCTTACTGGGGTAAAATCAAGCTGTCAGCTGAGCTGTGTTCCTTCCGGAGGCTCCAAGAAAAATTTGTTTCCTTACCTTTTCCAGATTCTAGAGACTGCTTGTATTCTGTGGCGTATGGCCCCACAGCACACTGACTTCTGCTGCCGTTGTCACATCTCCATCTCCGATGTTGACCCTTCTACTTCCCTCTTACAAAGATCCTTGTGATTAAATTGGACCCACTAGGATAATCTCCCTATTTTGAGATCCAAGGTCACATTTCATATTCTCAGGATTGGGACATGGACATCTCTAGAGGGCCTCTATTCAACTTACCTCCATGCCACACACACGCACGTGCACGTGCAGACACACACATGCATACATATACCTCTCACAAGTCAATAGCAAAGCAATCTGACTTTTTTAATAGGTGAAAGATATGAAGAGACTCTTCACCAAAGAAGATATACAAAATGGCAAGTAAGTACACAAAAAGATGCTCAATATCATCATTCATTAGGGAAATAAGAATTAAAACTACAATATTTCACTGCATACCCACTAGAATGGTTAAAAGACTATTCCATATTGGCAAGGATGCAGAGCAAATATAACTCTCGCGTACTGCTGGTGGAAATACGAAGTGGTACAGCCAATTTAGAAAACAATTTAGCAGTTCTTTATAAAGTGAAACATATACTTACCACATGACCTAGCAATCCTGCTCCTAATGAGAACACGAAGAGAAAGAAAAACATGTTTCCAAAGATTTGTACAAGAATGTTCCAGCAGCCTCATTCCTAGTAGCCGCAGGTTGGCAACAACCCAAATGTCCTTCAGCTGGTAAACAGATAAACAAACTGTGGCATATCCATACAATGGAATACTATTCAGCAATAAGAAAAAGAACAATCCCTGGCCAGCATGGCTCAGTTGGTTGAGCGTCATCACCTGGTCATCATTCAGTCCAGTGCAGGAGGTAACTGATCAATGTTTTGCTTTCACGTCGATGTTTCTCTGTCTCTCTCCCTCTCCGTTCCTCTCTCTGAAATCAATTTTTTAAAAATTCTTTTCTAAAAGAAAAGAAAAAAAGTACAAATTACTGATACACACAACAAAGATAAATCTTAAAAGCTTATGTTAAATGAAAGAAGCCAGACACAAAAGATATACTATATAATTCTCTTATATGAAATTCTAGAAAAGGGCAAACTATAAGTCAGAGAAAGATTAGTGGCTGCCAGGAGCCAGGGAGGGGTCTGATGGGACTGAAAAGTGAACTCTTAGGGACAGTGCAAAGGTGCTGTAGAGCGGTGGTTGTGGCGGCTGCACAGCTGCGCACATTTATCAAAACTCATTGAACTACACACTTAACATTGGTGAATTTAGCACATGTAAATTATATCTCAATAAAACTGGTTTTAAAACTCAATTGCATGAGAGAGAGAAAACTTGGAGAATAAAAATGGAGAAAGACAAATGTTTTCAAGCAGCAGCGGAAACAGGGAGAGGCATGCCGTGGGAAGGATACGGTGATTCGGGGTTGGGAGAACCCACCAGGAAGAGTGGGCTTGTTTGCCTCAATGTTCAGAGAAAGAGCAGGTGACAAATGTCAGAAATACACTTCTTTCGTTAAAAGAAACAGAAAAGGAGAAAAAAAGAAAAAGAAAGCTAAGAACCAGGCAGATAAACAAACAAAAAAATGCAAGTATCTAAAAGACTGACGGAAATCCAGGAGCAGATAAGGTGTCCACAAGAATTCTTCAAGCATTACACATGCATAAAAATGAAATGCCACCCATTCTTTCAGACATTTCAAATACTTGTGAACTAAGAAGGGAAGAGACAGACAAAAAGTAGACTAGTGACTGTCAGGGGCTGGAAGCCTGGGAAGGTTAAGAAATTATATCTAAATGGTACAGGGTTTCAACAGCCCAAGCACCCATCAGTAGATGAGTGGATAAAAAAGCTGTGGCACATTTACACCATGGAATACTACGCAGCTGTAAAACAGAAGGAAATCTTACCCTTTGGGACAGCATGGATGGAACTGGAGAGTATTGTGCTAAGTGAAATAAGCCAGTCAGAGAAAGACAAATACCACATGATCTCAGTCATATGTGGAATATAATGAACAAAATGAACTGATAAACAAAATAGATCCAGAGACATAGAAGCATGGAACAGACTGAGGGACCTCAGAGGAAGGTGGGGGGTAGGGGAGTTGGGTGAGGAGAGATTAATCAAAGAACTTCTATGCTTATATACATAAGCTATGAACACAGACATTGGTATGGGGAAGGCCTGGGGGTGGGGTAGATGCGGGGTGGAGGGGATCAATGGGGGAAAAAGGGGGACATCCATAATGCTTTCAACAATAAAGATAAATAAATAAATGGTCTAGGTTTCTTTATGCGGTGATGAAAATATTCTAAATTTGATTGTGGTGATGGTTGCACAACTCTGCGGATATACTAAAAGCCATTGAATTGTACACTTTATTATTTATTTATTTTAAATATATTTTTATTGATTTCAGAGAGAGGAAGGGAGAGGGAGAGAGAGATAGAAATATCAATGATGAAAGAGAGTTACTGATCTGTTGCTTCCTGCACGCCCCCTGCTGAGGATCAAGCCCAAAACCCGGGCATGTGCCCCGACCGGGAATCGAACCTCAATCTCCTGGATCAAAGGTTGATGCTCAACCCCTGAGCTATGCAGGCCGGGCTGAATTGTACACTTTAAATGGGTAAATTAGCCCAGCCGGGCGTGGCTCAGTGGTTGAGCATCAACCTAGGATCCAGGCAATCAGGGTTCGATTCCTGGTCGGGGCACATGCCCGGGTTGTGGGCTGGATCCCCAGTAGGGGACGTGCAGGAGGCAGCTGATCAATGACTCTCTCATCATTGACGTTTCTCTCTCTCTCCCTCTCTCTTCCTCTCTCTGAAATCAATAAAGATATATTTTAAAAAAGAAAAAAAAAAGAAAATTAACTTTTGAAAATAGCAAAACCAGAAATACCTAAGAATAAACCAAATAAAAGATGTGCAAAACCTCTATGCTGAAAAATATAAAACATAAAGCATTGCTGAGAAAAAATAAAGAATATCTAAGTAAGTGGAGGCATATATCATATTCTTGGATTAGAAGACTGTGTTTAAGATGTCAAATCTCCCTAATTTGATGTATAAGTTCAATGGAATCCCAATCAAAATACCAGCATTTTTTAAGACATTGACAAAGTGATTCTAAAATGTGCACAAAAAAATTTTTTAAAAGCTAGAAAACCCAAGGCAATCTTTTTTTTTTTTTTTAATCGTCACCCAAGGATATTTTTTCCATTGCTTTTCAGAGTGGAAGGGAGAGAGAAAGAGATATCAATGTGAGAGAGACACATCAATTGGTTGCCTCCCCCACACTCCCTGGCCTGGGCCGGGGCTGGAGCCTGCAACCGAAGTATGTGCCCTTGGCCGGAACCACACCCGAGAGCCCTCAGTCCGTGGGCCGACGCTCTCACCACAGAGCCAAACCTGCTAGGGCATGCCAAGGCAATCGTAAAACAGAAGAGCAAAGCTGGAGGACTCACACTACCAGATATCAAAACTTATTTTAAAGCTACAGCAACTAAGATACTATTAGCACAGGAACAGATTACAGACCACTGGAACAAAAGAGAGTCCACAAATAAGACATTAAATACATAGTCACACCTGACAGATGACAAAGGAGCCATCACAGTTCAGTGAGGGAAGGTGGTCTTTCAATAAATGGTGTTGGGTCAATTGTACATCCATCCATGAAAAAGTAAACCTTGCCCTGGCTGGGTGGCTCAGTTGGTTGGAGGATAATCTCATACACCAAAGAGTTGCGGGTTCAATTCCCTGTCAGGACACATACCTAGGTTTTGAGTTCAATCCCAGGTCGGGGTTCCTATGGAAGGAAACTGACCAATGTTTCTGTCACATATTGATGTTTCTCTCTCTCCCCCTTCCTCCCTCCCTTCCACTCTCTAAACACTCAATGGAAAAAATATCCTCGGATGAAGATTAACAAAAAAATTAATTAATTAACTTGAGATGGATCACAAATCTAAATGTGAAAGATACAACAAAAAAGTTTCTAGAGTTTAAAAAACAAAAAGGAAACTATCTTTACGACCATAGGATAGGCAAAAATGTTTTAAACAAGACACACACAAAATCACTACTTTTCATCTCAGATGACATGATCATCCATGTAGAAAATCCAAAATAATCAACAAAAAACCCCCTAATGGAATGGATAAGGAATCATAGCAAGGTTGCAGGATATAGGTTTATATGCAAAAGTCCATTGCTTTCCCATATACCAGCAATGAACGTGAAATTTCAAATTAAAAACAATATACCACCCTAGCCAGTTTTGCTCAGTGGTTAGAGCCTCGGCCTGTGGACTGAAGGCTTCGAGGCTCAATTCCAACCAAGGGCAAGTACCTCGGTTGCAGGCTTGCCCCCACTGGGGTGTAGAAGGCAACTAATTGATGTGTCTCTCTCACATCAATGTTTCTTTCTCTTTCTTTCTCCCCTGCCCCCCCACTCTCTCTGAAAAGCAGTGGAAAAAATATCCTCAGGTGAGGATTAATAACACACAGAAGAAAAACAGACCATTTACATTAGCAACCCTCCCCTCAGTAAATGAAATACTTAAGTATAAATCTAACAAAATATGTACAAGATCTATATGAGGAAAACTACAAAACTCTGATGAAGGAAATCAAAGAATTAAATAAACCGGACAGTCCACATTCGATGGGTAGGAAGATTCAATGTTGTCAAGATGTCAGTTCTTCCAAACTTGATTTATAGGTTCAATGCAATCCAAATCAAAATCCCAGCAAGTTATTTTGTGGTTATCAACAAACTTCTAAAGTTTACATGCAGAGGCAAAAGACCCAGAATGGCCAATACAGTATTGATGGAGAAAAACAAAAGTCGGAGCATTAATATTACCTGACTTCAAGACTTACCATAAAGTGACAGTAATTAAGAGGTGTGGAATTGGTGAAAGAATAAATAAATCAATGTAACAGAAAAGACAGGCTAGAAACAGTCACCTAAATATAGTCAACTGATCTTTGACAAAGGAACAAAGGGAGTACAATGGAGCAAAGATAGTCTTATGAATAAATGGTGCTGGAACAACTGGACATCCACAAACAAAAAATATGAATCTAGATAAAGACCTTACTACCTTGCCCAAGGACCCATGAAGGGTTCAATGCTGAAGTTGAGATTTGAACCCAGGTAAACCCAATCCAGTGCCCATGAGCTTAACCTTTATACTGTGTAGATCTCCACTATGTAAATCTCTATGTAGACCTCACATAGAGGTTTACTATTTTTCAAATGTATGAAAATGGAGCTGTCATCACTAAAATACATAAATAAATAAATGTTTTATGAAATGTGAAGTAGCTGTTTTGGTCAGTGGTATAGTTTGTGTTTTCTCAGTCAATAGACACCAAACATAGCAAGAAATTACATGAGGATCCTTAACAATTTTGATATTACTTTTTTTTAAATTGATTTTGAGAGAGAGGAAAGGAGAGAGAAACATCAGTGTGAGAGAGAAACGACGATTGGTTGCCTCCCACACGTGCCCCTACCAGGGATCAAACCAGAAACCTGGGTATGTGCCCTGACCAGGAATCGAACCCACCACCTTCTGGTGTATGGGACGATGCTCCAACCAACTCAGTCACACCATCCAGGGCTCTGGTATTACATTTTTGACACAAATCATAATGGTAATGTTCTAATTCCTAGGTTGGGTGGTATATTACCAAGGTTCATTACATTGGTATGTTACATAACGTGTGTGTACATGTATATACACACACACATACTCACCCCACATTCTTTTAAATGATCCAAATATTATATAATTTTTAAAAATGTTTAAGAGCACTGGCAGTCTAAGAAGAAAAAATAGCAATTTTAAAAAACAAAGGGTTTTCATGTGTGAAGGATGGGCCTA